GAGCAAAAACCATCCTAATAACAGCTAGATCGTCTGTACGACCTCTACAATATAATTCCCGCCGTGAGACGGCTTCCAAGACATCTACGGGTCTCTGAACAATTGAAATACAATTGGAACGCAATTATACAGAAAGCCACTTTCCAATCAGAAACGATGGCCTTCATTTTGATTTGTTTGGTTCAACTAAAATTCTAACAAAAAGTGGCGTGAGTGTTTGTCACATATGAATACGCAAATATATGCTCTAATTACGGTGACATTACTGTAAAATACTTATTTTAGCAGGAATTAATTTTCGCTGAAAAGACTTTTTGGGTGTTTTGTATGGAATTTATTTTCACTGAAAGGTACATTCGCTGAATTTTATTTTTCACTGAATCATTCCTTCAGCGATAATAGCGAAAATTAAATCCAAGCAAAAATGAAGTATTTTACAGTAACTTATACTGTAATTGTCAAAAAGGGGCGGATTTGCTGTGAATTCCGTAATATACCGTTCCCTCTGATGCGTTCAATTCACCGATGGAAGACGCAACAGAATACGTTTTACTAACAGGAGAGTATAATAAAAAGTACAGAGCCTTGGAGCAAGTCCGTACCAGCATCGCTGTCACAATGCCTTATTCTGTTCAGACTCTTTTTCACCACGTCATTCGGGACATACATCATGCACGTGACAGCGTAGGGCACTAGTCAAACTTGATAAAACATAAAATAAACACAGTGCAATGACCTAGTAAACACATACACATCACTCACACTTTAAAGGTAAATATGACAAACGGTTATTTTCGACAGTTCTCTCTAGTTATCAAGAACGCACGTCTAAACAAAACTGGGCATGGGTATCTGCAGTTCGACTCCGTCAAGATGGCAGGCACTACAGGAAAGAAGAACATCGTTGCTGAATTATTGACATTCCGCTCCTCGCTAATAGTAGTGTTAACCCCCATTATAGTTTTGCCATTACCGCTATGTATTCCCGGATCGGTAAGTGTGTATTCCATTGCAACCTATAATTATTAAAAAATCGCGTCAACCTCCACTTAAAGGGCGGCAGTCGTCGTGCCGCGTCCTGTTCGATATGGGACTAATAGCGACGTATACAACGCGTGTAAAATACATTGTTTATTTACATGAAATTCGAACACGCGCTGCGCGACGACCACGGCGCTTTAAATGTGTCAAATGCATACTACCCAGGATATTTCATCATATTAAGACCTAAATCCCGCTTTACATTTTCGACCGTTATTGCTTCGCTCTATTTAACTCTGTAGGACAACAATGCAAAAACCACCTTTAACTATTTGTGGTTTCAGCGAAAACAAATATTTTAGCTAACAACGTTAACGGGAAAACCGGGGCCTTTCGGCTCTTTGCCAGCTATGTGTGACTTTCCAAAACTTCAAAGATGCAATATGGATGGCAATATGTATTTGTGAATACACTTGTTAAATACGGCATGTACTTGAGGATAAAATTGATTACGATTTACCGTAACCCCAAAATATATTTTCTGGCGCACACAGTACAGCATTGGTTCGTTGACAAATGGAAAGCGCTACTACGCATGTGCAGTATAAAGGAATTTCACTGTCCCATCGAAAGAACACACTGCCGTGTGATACAGGAGTAACGTATCTAAATCACAATTCGGTGTATTCATCCGCGTACAACACCCAACAGTAGTAATACAAACTAGATTTGTTCATCTATATTGCATCTTTGAAATTCGCAATTCATGATTGTTGACTGAGTTACTCAAATGGTCGGTGCTCACCAGATCGCACAGATAACGAGTGCCCCCTCCCCCCGAGGAATTGTATATATAGTTAAAACATGAGTATGGCAAACGTTCGTTTATGGAAGGGGAGGGAGACAGAGGTCGACGTTGGTTTGAAATACTGCGAGTAAAAAATTACACTATTTTACGTGAGATGGCGAATATAAATGAATATGAATAATACACACAGTGAAGTGTCTTCCAATGTGGCGGCGAGCCACAGTTTAGTCCTGAATGTCGCGTATCCTCGGTTATCGCAGCTGGAAGCTGATAGAAATGAACACAGCTCATAATATGTCACATTGAAGCATTGCATTGTCTCAATATTAAATCACAGGGAATGTGGTCAAATGTTATAGTGAAGTTTCCACACGTTGAACTTTCACATTTGCAAACATTTGTGTTTACAGTACGCGTGTTGTAATCACATCGCGAATGTCGCGAATGAATTAGTGTCGCGGCTAATTTTGACATGCCAACTAGAAAAATGTTAAAGCAGGAGGGTCGTCACCTGCGCACGCGCGGGAATTGAGTCCCAAACGACGGTTACAACACACGCTAAAAACGCAAAGGCTCATGGGTAGACGCTTGTTTGTAAACTGTAAACAGCGACACGGCTATCTGACGCATGCGCAGGTGGCGACTCCCCCGCTTTAAATAACGCTGGAATCGAGACAATAATATTACATAAATTAAGGAACCACGTGAATATACGGTGTGATATTTGCATCTGATGGCGCTCAGACTTAAAATTTCCATGTAAACAACCTTACAATAAAATATTATCAGACACTTTCGAAAATCGTAATTCACATGAGCAACACGATACGGTAAAGATGCTCAACTAATGTATTCACCTTTATAACACTTCATATCCGGGTCAATGTCCTCATTATATATTCATATATAACGCTCAATTATATTAATTTGTCAGTGACGTGTTTTTCCGATCAATGCAGCAAAACCAGTTGGTACGTATTTTAGGCGACATGTGAACGTTTTACATACAATAAGCAGATATAAATACCGTCCTTTGTCACGGGAGTTGAGCGTCTGCCTCATCATCGTACCCAGACCCAGGCACCGTAGCTAAAACCGTTCATGTCGTCCGACTCCCATGCACAGTTAATAATTAACTATACGACCAGTAGTGAAAGGGCCAATAAACAAATCACCATGATAAGACGGCCTTACAGACCACTGAGGCGAGTTCGAAGTTTACCTAAGATGGCTTACTCACTGCTGCGTACCCTGCGCGAGTTTTGGGCGTTTCGTCGTTCCTGTATCGTCATTATCACTCCGATACTGGCCGCAATACTGCCGATATGTATACCAGGAACGGTAAGTCGTGAATCCAACTGCATTAGTTTAAGTTTATTTGTGTTTTTTCTTTCAAAAAGTGTATTTTAACGCGATCCATATGAAAGGTCACTGTTGACAAATGATCGTTATAATGTACGTCTATGTACTGT